AAGAGCGGAGTGCTCAGGAAGGGAAATGATTGTCTGCCCCTAAGGGAACGGGATTCATGTCTACAGTTTTCACCTTCAGCCTGTTATCTGTCCAGGAACCCTTGGGATCTGGGGCTCCCAGGCCTGGCCAGAGCTGGGAGGAGAGAATGGGAGGCGAGGCAGAGAGTGGTGGGGAGGACAAGACAACACTTCTAGTGTGCGGGTAACTATCTCAGATGCAACCTCTCTGGGGCCCCCCGGCTGGGGAGCTCAGCGAGTTGACTTGACGGCAGTGCCCACCCTGAGCAGGCAGGGATGGGGCGGCATGGCAAACCTAGGGCGAGGGTGGGGGGATGCTGCATTCCTCAGTGGGGCAGTAATCAATTTAATGGTCCTTTTAAAATGTCTGTGTATTAAAAATTTAAGAATACCACACTTTAATATTAAATATTCATAAGGTCTAGTATCTTGATAATAATGTAGATGTTTTAATAACAATTTTTGTCCTTCTTAAAATAAAATAAAAGAAACTTGTTTCTTTTAGCCTTTGTTCTAGAAAATAAACATGTGCACTTTGACCTCTGTCCTCGAGGTGTCGCTCCTGTTCCTCCCTACCTGGCACTTGTGCCTGTATCCTGGTTGTTCCGTGCTTACGGAGCAGAGCTGGCTGGCACTGGCTGCTTCTCGGTAGACATTCCCAAGGGTGAGGGGCAGGGTCGTGTCCCTGTGTACACACAGAAACCCAGCTGGCCCCAGTTCAGGCAGCACCTCACCTGGCAGGGACATGTTGCATGCCACCTGAGTGGCCCCAGGAGACCCTCCCTGCTTTTCTGTGGGCCCCACAGGCCTGCTTTTGTGAACTTTCTGGATGTGGCTTCTCTAGAAAGGTGAGGGGCCACACCATGCTCTGGAATGTGATCCCCATCGCATCTCTGTGCTCAAGGGTGACTGAAGTTGTATGGGCCTGGCTTCCTCATCTTGATCCAGTGGTTTTTTTTTTTTTTTTTTTTTTTTTGATAAGTTTTTGCTATAGGGCGCGTGTGCACGCCAGAAAGAGAGACAGAGAGACAGGAAGCGAGAAATCACCTCCAGGGGGGATGGGCACGTACGCACACGCACCTGGTATGAGTTTAAGCCACCGGGTCTGGGACTTGAATCGCAGTCGACTACATGGGAGTCCAGGGACATCGCCATTGCGCTAATTGCTGGTCCCATTTCAGTGTTTTTTAAATGATGTACATGTTCACATGAGAGGGAGAGAGAGAAGGGTCTCTTCACGACACAGTCTCGTTTCCCCAGCCCTCCCTCTCCTTAGGATCCTGGGTGCCCTCGAATCTAAACCTGCAGTTACTACATGGCGTCCAGCCTCAGAGGGCACTTGCATTGCCACCGTGTCCTTATGGCCAAGCCAGTTTCCTCATCTTTTAAAAGAGTTGTGTGTTAGAGTGCTCAGCTGAGTCTGCTGGGGTGCCAATCTGTTGGACTGCGCATGGTTGTAGGTGACAGAGGAGGTCCTGAGGGGAGTGGCTGCACGTGTACAAGAGCTGGCTGTGATGTGCACCATGGCCTAGTGGTTAAGGGAGCCAGATCCCAATGGCCGACTGCAGTTTGAATGCCAGCCCCAGCATCTTAAAAAAACATGCCTGGCACATGTGCACACATGTCCAGAACCCACAGATGGGGAAATGGAGAAGGAGGTTATTACAGACAGCCACAGCCATTAGGGGCGCTTTTTCCCTCTCAGGTGAACACACACTCCTTCTGGCAGTAAGCAAACTGCAGAATGGCCCAGTTAAGCATTGTGCAAAGGAAGCCAGATCCCACATAGCCATCGGTTTTGAATCCCGGCCCAGGTGGCAACATGCTAGGTGCATGCTCAGGATCCCGGGCACATGGCAAATGGGAGGGAAAGGGATTGCAGCATGACCAGGCCCACTAGGGGGTTCTTACTCTCCCTCACACATAGTATGCATGCATGTGCACTTGTCCTATCATAAATAAACGAAAAAATTAAAAGCATAACTGCAGTATGGAGTAGGCCAGGCATAGAAGCTCAGGGCCTGTGAATTGCCCCAGGGAGTCATTTGCCCAGGTATGCAGTAGACGCTAACATGCTTAAGGAGACACTGGATGAGGAGCGGGAGAGGCTGGAGGACTGTGGAGCACCTTGTTTGCATCGGGCGCCGGGCGGCCGTGCATCTGTCCACAACAGCCCTGCACGTTTCTTAGCCACATCTTACAGCCCAGAGGTGTTTGGTGAGGGCCCAAGGAGCCTCAGAAAAGAGACAGAAAAATGGAGAACATCAAACTAGGGACTCGAAACCCAGCCTTCAGTTCCAACGTGCTGGGTTCTGTCTCCTGACCACTCTGGGAGAAACCAACAGTCATGGCAATGTGATCCCCACTGCATCTCTGTGCTCAAGGGTGACTGAAGTTGTATGGGCCAGGAAAACGCAGACCTACCTGTACTTGGGCTGAGAGCATAGCCTGCATTGGGACTGTCCCTGAACTTAGAAAACTTGAAAAAAACAAACAAACAAACAAAAAAAACCAAGACAAAGAGAACATCAATGAACCCTGTAGACTCACTTCTTACATTCATGAATTTCCTTAAATTCTCTTTTGGTCCTCATTCGGCTCCAGTTGGTAAGTGTTAAGGGAGCACCCACTCTATCCCAAATCCTGGAGACAAGATTACTGAAGAAGCTCTAGCTTCCCTTACCACCACTGGGAGACTAGCCCAATAGCAGATTGTAGGATGACACGACGGGTGCAATGGCAGTAGACACTTGGGGTGCCAGGGAGGGTACCTCATCCAGGCTGGGGAGTCAGGGAGGTTTTCTTGGAGGAACTAGAACCAGAATTGAGGCTTCAAAAGATTTTTATACCGTCGCGATCAGTGTGCACTTACTGTTCTGCATCTCTCTTTTTTCATCTACTTCACACATTCGGTTCCATGCACTGACCCAGGCCAAGTACTTGGTCAGTGGCTGGGATTCATCCTGCCGATGGGCCAGAGCTGGCTGCGGCAGCCCCCCCGGGCTGGCGGCGAGCCCCCAGTGACTGGCCACAGGCCTGCTCCCGGTCCTCCGCCCTGTGAGTGGGGACCAGGGTGAGTACCCCTGCTAACACAGCTGCTTCCACAATGCAGAATCTGCTTCCAAGGGAAGGCCTGGAGGGGTGCCTCAGACCTGTAGGCTGGGCCTGGGACCACTCTGCAGCCCATTAGCTAAGGCCCTTGAAGGCTCTGCAGAAACTGCACCCACATATTCCCCCTCTAGGGGGCCCATTTGTGGCCTCCTGGAAAAATATCCCCAGGCCCTCAAGAAAGGGAAGCCTGGGCCTCCAGCCCCACCGGGGTAGGGACCAGTGTTTGCATTGACCTCTCTGGCATCTCCATTCAGGGCCTGGAGGGTAAACGAGCAGTGCTGGCGCCAGGCGCCTGTGCGTGTGCCCAAGATCCCGAGAGGAGAATGGAGGAGAAGGGATTGCGGCGTGACCATCCCCCCTGGGGGGTGATTTCTCGCTTTCTGTCTCTCTGTCTCTCTCTGTCTGTCTGGCGAGCGCACACGCCCTACAGCAAAAACCTCTGGGGGGGGGGGGGGAGCCAGCAGTGCTGGACCAGGAGAGGGCGAGGCGCAGCGAAGGTTCTTCAGCAAGTCCTCCCTGGTGTGTCTGGGCCTCCCAGCGGAACGACGCATTGGGTATTCTCACGGGCCCTTTCTACACTATCCCAGAGCTGTGTCAGGGAGGTCACAGCTTCCCTGCGAGGACACCTGATCCCAGTGAGCTGGGGACAAATACAATCAGTGGAAACCCAAGGGTAGGGGGGCGGAAATGGCTTCACTGAGGGTGCCTCAGACCATTGGTGGTGGGTGTCAGACCTTTTAGCCAGGACACCCAAGAGGTGCAGGCGATAGTAATCCCAGCACGCCCGCCACGCAGCCCTTGCAAGTGTCCCGGGTTTGTATATGGCTTCCTTCTCCTCTCCCCCCTTTTCCCCTATGGCCTCTCCAGGCACCCAGCCCAGCACCTGAAGTGTGGTCCCTGTCTGGCCACAGGTGATGCACCCCCCAGGAGGAATGGCCACTGTCCAATCCCTTCTCTTCTGCACACCCCAAGGGCAGAGTGGGGGTGCCAGCCTGGACTCTCGGCAGGATAGGGACTTGGCTGGCCGGGTATGCTACTTGATGTGCAAGTCCTCACAGGGCCTGGCCTGGTACCAGGGATGTGGCATGCATGCCTTCATCCTCCTACAGGTGTAGTTGTATACAGAATGGGATGAATCTCCAGGAGGGAAATGTCGTTTCTGAGACACCAGGGTACTTCCTATTGCCTTTAAAACCATCTTGTGGTCACCTACCAGTGAGCTAGTTTCACACTCAAGTGGGCTCTTGGCCAAGAAAAGGTTACTGCGCCAGCCCAGCCTGAGGCAGCCCGCACACCAGACCCTTCCTCACTCCGTGCCTGAGAGGAGTGAGGAGCCTTCCCTTTTCAGAGAGAGAATACTCCAAAATATTCATATGTATGACTCTCTTTTTATTTTTAGGTTTTTTGCCATCAGACACATGCACTTGCTGGAGAGACAGAAACAGGGAAAGTGAGAAATCACCCCCCACTCCCAGGGGCATGGCCATACTGCAGTCCCTTCTCTGCCACTCTCCGAATTTGGGGTACATATCCATATGTGCCCAACAGAGAAATAGAAAGTGAGAAATCACCCCCAGTGGGGTGGCCATGCACTATTCCTTTTCCTCCATTCTTCTCTTGGGATTTTGGGCAGGCAGGAGTGCACACACACCCAGGGTTAGTTTAAGCTGCCGGGTCCAGGACTCAAACTGTGGTTGACTACATGGAAGTCCATCGATGTAACCATTATGCCATCTGCTGGTCCTATTAACCAGTATTTTAATCTTTCCAGTAAGTGTTATTTGGTTTGTTTTGTTTCTTAGATTTTTGCCATATGGCATGAGTGCTTGCCGGAGACAGACAGAGAGAGAAAGTGAAAAATCACCCCCCAGGAGGGATGGCCACTGTCCAATCCCTTCTCCTCTCGGGATTTTGGTATGCACACACTTCTGGCCTGTTTTACAAGCCACTGGGTCTGGGACTCGCACTGCAGTCAGCCACATGGGATCCAGTGCCTTGGCCCCCACTCTACCTGCTGGCCCAGTTGCTTTCTGTTTTTAATTTGCTATACAGCACGTGTGCTCACTGGAGAGAGACAGCGAGAGAGGGAAAGTAAAACAGCACCCCTTGGGGGGGGCAGATAACCACACTGCATCCTCCTTTCCTCTTGGGATTTTGGGCACACCTGCACATATGCCTGGTGTGTTTCTCAAGCTGCCAGTTCCAGGACTCAGACCTTTCAGTCCACCACATAGAATCCAGCTGCCTTAACCACCACACCACCAGATGGCCCTATATATTATTTTGTTTTTAACTACCAGAGGATGTGCTTGCCAGAGATACAGAGGGAGAATGCATCACCCCAATGGCATGTGGTCATGCTGCAATCCTTTTTTTCTCCATTTCTTCATTCTACCAGGATTTGGGCCATGCAAGTATATATGCCAAGCATGTTTTTGAAGCTGCCAGGACTGGGATTTGAACCATGGTTGGGTATACAGGATCTGGCTCCCTATGCACAGTTCTTAACCACTGTGCTATAGGGCTGGCCCTATTTACTGTTTTAACTCAGAAATTAATTTTAAAATTTTAAGAATTATTGAGGCTGGCAGGTGGCATAGTAGTTAAGGGTGCTGGACTCCCACATGGCCAAACATGGTTTGAGTCCTGGACCTGGTGGCTTGCTTTCTCACTTTCTCTCTCTCTCTGTCCCCCTCTCTAGTCAACTTAAAATAAAATAAACAAAATGTAGATTTTTAAAAATTTAAGAATTGTTTTATTTACATTTACTTATTTTAAATTGACCAGAGAGGGACAGAGCAATAAAGAGAGAGAGAGAAAGTGAGAAAGCAAGCCACCAGGTCTGGTATTTTTTGTTGTTAATTAAGAATTATTTAATTTTATTTATTATTATTATTTTTCAATTTGCTATAGGATACACATGCTCACCAGAGAGAGAAAGTGAGAAAGCAAATTACCAGGTCTGGAACTTGAACCGCGGTTAGCCATGTGGGAGTCCAGCACTCTAATCATCATGCCACCTGCCAGCCCCCCTGGAGTATTTTTGATTTTGTTCAAAATGGAATTGGGGAAGGCAGCAAAGGACTGCATAGAAATTAGCTACAGTGCAGAAGACCAAATGTTCATTGCATCCAGACAGAAGTGTCAAGGCCGTAGCGCTGAAGCTGGAAGCACCTTCGATGTCTACATTCAGTAGCGGGGGTGTCCAGACCACTGCCTTGCTTGTTCAAGACTCCATATCAGTGCAAGGAAGAACTGGGAACCTGACACTGGGGGACCAGCAGGTGGCGTAGTGGTTACAGCACTGGACTCACATGACCCAGTTCTAGTCCTGGTGGCTTGAAAATCTCACTAGGGGTGAGTGCATGCATACCCAAAACCCGAGGAGAAGAATGGAAGAATGGAGAAGGGACTGCGGTGTGGCCATCCCCCCAGGAAATGACTTCTTATTTCCCTCTTACTGTTTCTCTGCTCTAAGTGCACATACCCTTATTAAAAAAATAAAGAAAAAAGAAAAAAAGAACCTGACATCCCCTGGCCAGGCCTGGCTTTACTCTGGTGGTGGATGGCAACGTACAGAACTTTGGCTTCCCCCACGGAACCAAATGGCCTGGGTATCACAGAGGACGGGGAGAGGGAATACCCCTAGTTGCCACTAAGGTCCCCGTGATGGGCTAGAAAGCAGTGATTCCTCACCTAGGACAAGCCTAAGCTGCTCCCCTTCCATGGTGCCTGCCCCGCCTCCCCTCCCAGCACCTGCCTGCTAGGCAGACACCGCCTATTTCTCCCTACTCCCCAGAAAGCCAAAGAACCTCAGGCTGCAGGTTTTGTCACTTCCCTTTGGAGAACCCTTTGGGCTCTGCAGATGGTATAAAGCCTAATTATGTATGCCACATGTACACCCATGTGCCTTGCAGGGCACGTGTACGTGGCATATACACAGCAGCACCACCCGAGGCTCACAGCACCAAGGTGAATGCATGGTGCCTACTGGTGTCCCTGAACACGCCAGCGCGGAGCATCTGTGTGCTCAGCTGCCGTGGGTGCTGCTCTTGCCCACCCTCCTTTCTTCCTGAAGCCTCCGGGCACAGCCTGGGATGGTTTCTGTGGTGTGCCCTACCCTCTGCTGTGCCTGGGCCTCCAGGCTCCTCCGCCCCTGTGTCGGTGCATGCTCACTGTGGGCGTGGATCTGTGCTTACCGTTCTCAGCTGGCAGCCCTGGTTATGGCTCCCAGCCTGGGGGAGAACTTCCCTTTGCAAAGTTAGATAACAGGCCGGGTTCTGTCAGAGGATTGGCGCGGTGGCTCCACGTGCTACAGCTGGCACAGGGCCAGGCCCGCCCTGCCAAGCAGCGGGAAGGGAAGGCCTGGCTGCAGCCGGAGCTGGCAGGTGGCCGAGCTGGGGGTGGACGGGTGGGCCTGGGCCGGTGCTGCCCATTGGCTGCCTCAGGCTCCCACCCCGCCTGCCTCCCCAGCCTGGAGCTCCCGGCCAGCCCTTGCCTCTCCAGCTGCTTCTAAACTCCCCAGAGCAAGCACCTCCTACAGGGCCATGTCGAGTTGCGACCGGATCGGAGTGGCCCCTGCCATGGACATGCCTGAGGTCCTCAAGTCCCTGCTGGAGCACTCTCTGCCTTGGCCCGAGAAGAGGACAGGTAGGACAGGTGGTCTGCACTGGCTGGCTGCCCAGGTGCCAAGGGGAGGGCAACCGCAGGCATAGTGGCGGGACAGGCATGTCCAGGCTGGGGAGAGTCCTCAGCAGGGGTCTGCCCTTGGCTCTGTCCTGGCTGGAAGAAAAGCAGCAGTGCTGAGAGGAACTTGGGGAAGTGTGTGAGGGGGTGCCACACCAGCCCAGGGCTGCCCCCAGGCCTGCTAGCTTTGGGAAGCCACAGCCGGCATGCAGCCAGACAGGTGCTCACTTGCTCGGAACAAGGACAGAACAAGAGGGCCCACTGAAGAATCCACTGGTGCTGATCCCTGGTGACGCTCCCTCTCTCTGCACGTGGGGGTGGGCAGAGGAGCAGCAGAGACTGGATTTGGGCAGCAGGAGCCCGTGCCGGAGAAGAGGCTTTCCTCCCCTGCTCGGCTCCAGCTCGCTGGAGGGCTGAACCCAGGGTGGGATGGAAACTGTTATGTAACAGGACCACAAGGCTCGAAGCCCCGCGTTCCTAGGATACCAGGGCAGACACAGTGAGGGAGAGGGTGGAGGAGGGCGTGGACTGAGGGCGGGCTGAGCAGCAGCACCAGGTGTCTCCCGACTCACCTGGGAACCAGGACCGTGGTTAGTCAAGGGAGGGTTGGGGGCCCTCTGCTCAGCAGTGCCCCACCTGCTAAATGTTCCTCCCAATCTCTTCTAGCCAAGAGGTCAGGGGCTCACCACAGGTCCTCACTGCCTTTAGAGGAGTCCAGCTGGCCTGGGTCAGACTCAGAAGCCTGGGCTGTCCCCTCGGGAGGCCTCTCCCAGGTCTCTGCATCCTCCTGCTGTGCTGACAGATCTCATCAGCCAGTGGCCATGGTGGTCCCTATAGGACTTCCTCCCACAGGAATCAGCCCACTCCCAAATTCTGCAGCCAGAGGACAGACAGCACAGCCCCTGACCTCACCTTGGCCCTTTGGAGCTGGGTATGGGCCTGTCCTCATTAAGTCAGGAAGGGAAGTGGTGACCAAGCTCAGGTCAGGGTCCCTGTGGGTGAGTGCACAGAGCTGTGGGCCCCCAGAGCACACCCTGTGGTTTCGAATGTCCCAGAGGTGCTCCTGGGCCCTCACGGCACTGAGAACATCTGCTCACAGAAGCCCACCTCCTCAGGGAAGCCCTCAGCCTCACGGCTGAGCTCCGTGGAGACCACGCCCACAAACAGGCCCCCACCAACATTTTCAACATCTCTGAGCAGCCCACGTAGGGGGGCAAAGCTGGAAGACTTTCCAAAAGCTACGGCAGAGGGCTCTGGTCTCAGGCTGAGCCCCCAGGGAAGGTAGCACAGTGCCCACTGGGCCTGTGCATGGGGAGCAGCTGGGCTGCTGGTGACTCTGCAGGGCCAGCTCGCAGCTGGGCAGGAAAGGGTTCTCGGGGGCAGCTCAGGACACTGCTCTTGGACAGACGAGGATAACAAGGCCTTTGAAGTGTGGCAGCAGCTGCCGGTCGCTGGCTCCCAGCTGGTCTGCAGAGAGCTTCACGACAGCCGAAGTCCCCAGCCCTCATGTGGATGTGCAGTCAGGGTCCGGCACTGAGGGGACTGGCTCCAGGTTCTAGGCAGAGCTTTGCCAAGAGCTGGCCAGCTCTGGCTGAGGATTCGGTAGTCCGCTGTGGCTGGGCAGATCCTACCACTTTGCGTGGTATTTCTGGGGGTCAGAAGTATGAGGGCCCATGGGACTGAGAGATGCCAGGGGCCAACCGGTCAGGGTAAATGAGGGGAAGAAGGTTGATGAGCCAAAGGGATCACAGAGACTTTGTTCACCTTGCCATCCTGCAATCACAACTTCCCAAAGCTCCCAGACTGCAGGTTGCTTACAAAAATAAAAACATCTACCTGAAAAGCAAATATCTGGGTGAAAAAAAGAGTATGCCACCCTGTGGAACTAAAATTTTAACAGTTTTTTAAAGATTTATTTTATTTAACTATTTATTTTAATTTGAGCAGAGAGGGACAGAATGAGAGAGAGAGAAAAGGAAAGTGAGAAAGCAAGCCGCTAGGTCTGAGACTCGAACTGTGGTCAGCCATGTGGGAGCCTAGTGCCCTTAACCACCATGCCACCTGCTGGCCTCTTAAGCAGTTGTTTTAAGTAGCAAGTACTTTAAAAGTTCTTCGTGATGGCCAGCCAGTGGTATGGTGGTTAAGGCGTCTGGATTCCACATTGCTGAAGGCACAGTTTGAGCCCTGGCCCTGGTGACTTGAACACACTAGGCACACATGTACATGTGTCCAAAATCCTGGCAGGAGAATGGAGAAGGGCCTGTGACATGTCCATCTCCCCTGGGGAGTGACTTCTCTCTTTCTCTGGCAAGTGCACTCACCTTATAGTAAACCTAAACAAAAATCGTGATAAAGGAGCTTCTCTATTTCCCTGCACAATGGTTTTACACCCCAGTGGGAGAAAGACACAGAAGACAGGTGCCCCAGGGTCTCCTGAAAAACAGGGACACACCCAGGGTTGCCCCCCCTTGCATCAGTGGACTTTGGCTGTGCCGTCTGCCCACGTGAAAAGGGTGGACTGCTCCTTGGGGGATGGTTTACAAACTCCCCACTTTCTTGTTCTCTCCAGCCGTGACAGCCTCAGTGCACATCTGGGTCACGTGCAGAGCACGTCTTGGCTCCAGTGGGAGATTTCGGAAAAGCTGTGCTGAGTGGGAGAAATCCCAGGTGTGTTCTCCCAGACTTCCCTCCGTGCAGCCCTGGGCTCCGTTTTCTAGCTCAGAGCTATTTCCTGAGATCCAGACCTGGGCCCCTCCTCCTCTGTTGCTCTCCAGCTTCCCACCACCCCACCCCCACACAGTCTGTGGACCTCTGCCTCTTTTCTGCACTGGGATGAGCAGAGTCTAGCAGGGCTAGCCTGACCCTTGGCTCCCTTGGCTTCAGGCTATAGGGCTCACCAGGTGGCCTTCACTCCGGTCCACCAGTCCAACCACTTCCCCGTGAGGTGGAGAAATCCACATCTAGCAAAAGGGTGGTCTATACCCTAACTCTGACTGTTTCCCTTATTTCTGGGCCCTGGGCCCTAAGCCCTAAGGACTACTCTTATATCTCCCCTCCTGCCCTTTCTCCCAAGGATCCTCTTCTAAAAGTCTGTTTTAGGCTGTTCATTTCAACTCATTTCTTCTCCAGCTTCTGCAAAGACCCACATCTCTCTAAGGCATATTGTTAGTCATTTACACTCCATCCTCCTCTCCCCTGTGGGGTCTTGGCTATGCTCAGAGACACCCTGCCCCCACCTTCTGTCATCTTTGCTCCTGTCAAGGGAGCTGCAAAACCGAACTAAGCCTTCACTTTGGGCAGGGGGGGTCCTGTCTGGGCACTCCTAAACCAGGATCCATTCTGGACAAAGCAGTGTGGCAGGGGGTTGTAATCAGCAGGACATGGACCCTGATTCTGCTACCCACTGGTCGGGGCTCTTGCACTTGCTCTGCTTCATCCCCAATCTCTAAGAAGGGTAGAAAGAATACTGGTGTCCAATATAATCGTCCTGCGTGAGTCTTTGCCTACTGTGACGGGCCAGTTTTCTCTGAAAAGGCAAAGAGCCGTCTGACCTGGCACTCCTACACACCACACGTGCGATCTGGTCCCAGTCCCTCCTCCACCTTCCTTTAAAGAACTGGATGTTACGAGTCTGTGCACAAAGGTAGGGCTATCTCCTTTGCAACATGTGCTGAGGCTCCTAGTGGGCTGATGCCCTCGGACCTGCACCCAAAGGGACCACCCAGCTGTACGATAAGAGGTGAGATCTCAGCAGGACTTGCTGGGCAGAGGCAGGGGCCTTGGTGCCGTCCTGTTGTGGGTGGAGGTCCGTGGGTTGAGGGGGTGGATTCCGTGCAGCCTGGGCAGTCCTGGCTCAGCCTTAGTGCAGCTCTCTGTGGCTGGCTCCGCTCATAGCCTGGGGAATCAGCAAAATGGAGAATTCAGAGAAACTGTGGGGTTTGCCTCAGGGAGGAGGAAAGGGCAGGGGCCTTCTGCGCGGAACATGTCAGCTCATTAAGTCCTCACCACAATTTCTACAGTATTCCCCCTTTCCTCTGGCACAAAAGTGAACTCAGAAAGGTTAGCTATCCTCAGGGCCAGCGTGCGGGCCAGCCTCTTCTCTCCCCTCAACCCCAGAGGCCCAGAGCTGTCTTCTCTACCTGTCTCCCCTCACCAATCAGAGACATATGAGAAAGAAGCCCTCGCCAAATGCCAGACACTGATGGCAATGTTGAGGCATGCCCCCTCCAGATAGTTTGGCCTAGGGCCTGACCCAAAGCTAGACTGCTAAGGAAATGTGCCAGGAATTGCGACACCTGCTTCTACGTCACTTTCTGTCCAATGGTTTTGCAAGGGAAGTGAGATGGCTCTCTACAGATGAGGAGACAGGCCACACAGTTGTTGAGAGAGTCACCCCAGTTCCTCCTGCTTCCAGGCTCAGGCCGCCCTTAGGATTTCCTGGGGTCTCTGAACCCATGTCTCAGGGCAGTGCCTCTCAGTCATCCATTCACTGTTTGCTTATTGGGTGTTTGCTATGCTGTGGCTCAGGGTACATGACAGAAACACTGTCCTTGCTCACCTGGGCAGTGCGTTTTAGTGGGGAGAGACAATTAGCAAAGGAGGCTGAGGGGGGCAGCCTCTCTGAAGGGTGACATTGAGCTAAGGCTTGGAGAGTGAGGAAGAGCTGGATACAGATGGGACTTTCAGGCTGCGGGGACGGCACCTGCAAAGGCCCTTTCCTGGGGCAGCAAAGACTAAACATGTCTGAGGAACAAAAGGCCACTGTGGTTGCAGAAGCTGAGCAAAGGAGAGAAAGGCACAAGGTAAAGTTGGAGAGACCTGCATGGGCAAGAGCCTGCATGGCTTCGAAGGTCCTAAAGCAGAGTGAGGCTGTCATCTCCCTGTCGTTAAGGCCGGCTCTTAGAGAAGTGGCAGGGGGAGCAACTACCCCAGGATGGAATTATACTAAGAAATAACTTTAACTG